TATTTTGTTTCGGGCTACTAACGTCCTTGCTCACATTTATAATTTTATTTCTATTCTATGAATGAGAGAATATACTTGAACACCGTTTGTACACCTAAAGCAAGTTACGGGGAAACACCCTCCAGAAACTTATTACTTTCTCTGTCACAAGTCGTGACACGCCTGTTATATATGTGATGTAGGATGAATAATTTATTTCGTTATTATTATATGTATTCTTTTTTTAAAGTAAATATAAGTTTGCTACACGAAATATTGTACCGCTACCCGGTTCTATTTTACGAGCGCACTGATCTCATGGAAGCATGTTATTTTCTTTATCTCGTTGCTATGGAAATGTTTTCGTCGTGATCATAAATTCTTTGTGTACAAAAGTAAATGCGAGAGACTTCTTCGTAACCCTTTTTGTTGAAAGATATAATGGTATTAGTGTTTCGTATTACCTTGTAATTGTAATATATCTGTCACATTCTATTTACACGTTTTTTACGTTATTTTGTAGTTTTTGGTTTATTATGCTGAAGAATTGTAATTAAACTCTGCCTCCTAGACAAAGTGACTTTCGATTAGCGATGTCGCTTGTAGAATCGACAAAATGTGTCAAAATGCATAGGAATAAATACGTGACAAGCACGTGACTTATCAAGGGTTATTTTCAGTTCCATACATTTTTGACTTTTCGAACAGCGATGGCGATAATCGAATGTTACTTTGTCTAAGGGGGCAGAATTTCTTACTAGAGTCTTCTTAATCGGTCACTTGCATCTGCCAAAGATTTGATGACAAATTTTTGAAATTCAGGAAAATAGAGCACAAACCTGTGACGAGATTCTACATAGTAAAAGTTATGCTTTAGCATTAGGAAAATACGACATAAACTATGTCAAACATATTGTACTTATCGTACTAAAGTAGTTTAATGTAAGCATGGCCCTGCTAATGGCAAACATGTTTTTGTGCTTTTCTACTCCCATTACCCTGTACTAATGTATTCTTTAACTTACCACTGAGTAGCTCTTTATCTCCTGAGATTCATTCCCATCTCTTACAGTTAATATCTCTCGATCTCAGGATTTAGGAAATCCAAGGATTACATTTTTTTTAAACATTAGTAGATTTTTTGTTAATTTACTGGTATTCCCTTTAACCATTCCAACTAAGCTCTAGGCTTGTGTTAGGATATGGTTCACGCCAATAATCGAATGACGGGATTAAAACCCTCGACCGCAAGATCGGTAGTCCGTATCCCAAACCATTAGGCTAACGGCGCTTTACATTACAATGCGCATTGTGAATTTGGTTTTAGTTTTGTTAATTTACTCTTGATGAAATTTTTAAGTAAAAACAGAGTTAGAACCAAACGGTTTCGTTTACAACGCAGTATAAATTGGGTATTAAGAGGCTCAGATCTAAACTCATTCCGGATTTAGAAGATTTTCTTTTTCCCTTAGGATCGCGTTCAATTCCATCTAGTTGCAGGGGTTTTTCCTCTACATTGTTGCTTCGTGTCCGCACTCTGAATTAGAACTAAATTGTTTCCTGTACCATGTTGTTACAAGTTGATTGTTTTTTTTTGCACTTTTTTGTGTAATATATTGTTAAAAATTACAAAAACAAAGTTAGCGCAAGCTTAACAAACATATAAAGGTTTGAAAATAAAGCGAGAATATTGAACATTCTAAAATGTCACGTTTTTCTTTGGACATTAAGTTCTGTTTGAAACTATACCCAAATACAAAACTATTTTCCGACTGTCATCAAGTTATTCTTCTTTATATTTTTCGACACGAACTCCGCAATTGCTTTAAGTCACGTTTCACCCCGGGTATTGTAGATTATACGTAGTTCTTACGAACTTAAATTGGTTTCATAGATGTTTACAGGCGAATAGCGACGTCCAATAGTCTAGGAAATTATTAAGGCGGGTACGAAGTTAAGCGGAGTTCGCTCGCTCGGTGCGTCGCCATGGTAACCGCTCGACGCTTCAATTTAAACTAATAATTGCCGCTTCGAATAACAATTGAGCTTCTCGCTATTATTATAGGTAGTCTTGACTAAACGATTGCGTGGAAGATAAAAAACATTATAGGAACTAACACTGATTTTTCCTTTCGCTTTCAGTAATCTTGGTTAACTATTCTATTGCATAAATATAAAGAGAAGAGATTTCATTCTTTGTGTTTTAGCAATTAACTTAAAACTACTAAATTGATTTTAATTCTATCTCTGTCAGATTTTACCTAGGTTTTTCATATGCCTGTCTATCCTGTAGACGTCAGAGCGAACTACAAAGTGAACAAAGACAAGGTTTCGAGACAAAAGCTATCAAATAACAGTAACTTAATCATACAATTAGGACTTTGTACAAAGGCATACAAAATCTTCAGAACATTCTCCGTTTAATTTTCCACAAGTTTTCCGCCCTTATTTGAGTTATGAAGAATTAATAGTTGTACATTTTGTTTTACTTTGATGGAAGGCGCGACGACGGGGTTAACGACCGACGCCAGCCCGTTGTCATGGCAACGAAAATGTACGTCAGCCGACTAGGAACGAGTGCAGATAAGCCTTTACGATGAGGAAATATGTCGTTTGAAAATTGGACAAAGAAAACTTTTGTTACTTTCCTTATGTATGGAAAATTGGCATTTAGTGTTATAATAATAATATTATTTTTTTGGATCAATAAAACGAACAATTTGTTAAAGTGATTGAATTGCGTCTGAAAATATACCCACATCATCCTCCTTTGAGCTTTCACAAACTTTTTGTATGTTTTTGAAACGGGTCTGACAAGACAATATCTAGTTTGAGGCATATTTTTTTTTAATTTAGAACCCATTTTATTTAGTAAATGGTGTAGTGGTTTAAACGAAACAATTCATTAAATTTACAATTTTAATTTCATTGTCATTTGCTTTAAAGACAATAAGGGTTATGCATCCGGGTCATATTGTCACTTACTTGACCTCACTGGTTACTACCTTTTTTTTTGGTTAAATTTAAGTAAAGGGGTGATCTATAAATTTAAACTTACAATTAAAACGAGTGTAAAAAACACAAATTATCAATTCAGGGCTAAATTGATCAGATTAAGGCCTTGGGGCGTAGCGTAACCCGAGTAAATTACAGATGATCGCCAACCCTGAAGATTAGTAGGTATTACAATTAATTCAAGGTTGTTTAGCAATGAGTGCGGACCTTATGACCGTGTTCATACATTGTGTATGAATATGTATGAGAGTAATAACTGATGGAGCGTGTACAGCGCCGGCCCGGAACCGACCGCCGCGCCCTCTGTCTTCCGCCAACCTATTGTATCAATGTCGCTGCTTTATGTTTCCTTCTGTCATTTAAAATTCTATTGCCTTACATCGTTCATTAAGCAATTACACAGTCCCATGGTCACATTCAGGGAAATAATGACGAAAAGACAACGCTGTTTTAATATGTTGATTACAATACTATTTAACGTCAGATGGAATCGTGGTCAGATCAAGTTTAAGTCTTCTATCAACTAGACTATCCGAATAAAACTCAACTCATATTATTAACATTGTATTGCATGGCCCGGTGCAATGCCAAGAAAACATAGAAGATATGCTACAAGTTGAAGTCATTCCGCAATTTGTCTAGTGAGTGTGCATGCTAGGTCTTATTTCACTAATATTCTTTATCTGTGTGTCTCTTCTGCCCTTTAAAAGTAGGCAACGATCTGGATGTGGATGTATATGGGTAGCGACAGTAGGCCTGTTTCGGCTAATTGTAATGACCGCTTGCTCGTTTGCTACCTTAAACTATAAAAAGTTGTACGTAGAAACTAAGTTATTTTGTATATGATCTTTGATCTTATCGCATATCTCATACTTATCAATTGCATCAGCGGATTGTTACTTGACATTTACGAAGCTCTGATGCAAGCCGCTTGATTGCGTATTACTCACTAACCTTGTCCGACGTAGCGTGAATGTTAAGCGTCATTTAAATTTATGTCCTTAGTACTGTCTGGTAATGTATAATTTTAACTAAACAAGATTTCTTACGTTTTAATGTATTTTTCATCGAATAGTATGACCGTTGTGTCTATATCGTAAATGTATTGTTTGGTAATAAATACCAAATGTAGTTATTTTCTTATCTCACATACATGTTATGGAACTATAACGAAGTCCCATTAGATGTTCGCAGTATTTTCCCTTTTCCTGTCTCTATTATTACGCCCCCTCGCTTAAGAAGTACTAAAGAACTACTTATAATGACTGGTTATTGTTTATCGCAAAAGTTTGTTAATGTATTATTTACGAGTAATACTGCGACATCTGTTTTCGTTGAGAGTGCTTTATACAAACCATGAATATAATAATGTAAGGTTGTAGTGTAGTGTCTTAGTTGCATTAATTTGATATGTTTTTTTTTATTGTTAATGATTTTCGAACACAATTAAAAACATAACCATCGAGATTGATCCTTCATTACACCGGACCAACATATACCATAGACAAAGCTTTCGTACTTATTTCTTGTCCATTTTTCCGCCGAGAGCTAAAACATTATACAACTGTCGTTTAAGTGATTTTTATTTTACGAATTGCCACATTAAAATCGACAATAATGTTCTCTAGAGTTTAAGAACTTTCCTGTTTTTTTTTAAATTTATTATTTACGTAATTTAAATTAAACGTTTTTTGTATGTTTGATAAGAAATGTCGCAAATACGCAATTAATTTTTCGTTCAACATTTGTCATTAGTCGTGTTATCTGCTAATTAACTTCCTGTGTTTTCAATACCTTTTTTCTGTTTTAATTAATGCAAGGTTTATTTATATAGCGCGATATCGAGCGGTGCGCGACATGTTTATGACTTTGTTATTTTTGTCGGAAAAATGTACATTATTATTTAAAATTAATTGTTTCAATCTTTTTGATACTTTTACAATTACAAATAATGGCCAAACTTCTGTGTAATATTTTACTTATAGTTTCTCGTTTATATATTCCAGGGAACAAAGCTATGGATAATAATGGAATATCTGGGCGGTGGGTCGGCGCTGGACCTGATGAAGGCGGGTAGTTTCGAGGAGATGCACATCGCGGTGATCCTGCGCGAGGTACTGCGCGGCCTCGACTACCTGCACTCGGAGCGCAAGCTGCACCGCGACATCAAAGCCGCCAATGTTCTGCTCAGCGAGATGGGCGACGTTAAACTCGCTGACTTCGGTAATATATGCTGCTACATCAGTAGACAATAGTTACCCATAGACATCGCTCAATATCTCCCAATATCGACAATATATTTCTTACCTAACTTTACAAGGCAACTAACTGTATAATTTAAAAAAAAATGCTCTGGTTTTTATAGGCGATGGTCACGTAATTTTAAGATACATTTGCTGTTAGGAGGATCACTAGACAAGCAGAAAGCGTAGTTGTCTCTACAAATTACAAATTCTCTAATGGTTCTTTAATCAATATCTTCTTTATCTTATACGATCTACGGAAGTTCAGTTTCATCTATCATAATTATGATTTCGGACATTCTCCTGAATTTCTCCCTAACGTGTTTTAATCAAGTTTACGACCCGAACCAAGTTAAGGCAATGTTTTACAAGGCGACACTTTGGCGGACCGCCAGTCTGACGTTTGATTTCGTCTCACTGAGGCGTCTACAGGCGACCGGCGACCGGAGGCTACATTAAATGTTCCTTTGGAATTGTTGTAAAATGTTGGCACGCATTCCTGGTGTAAACTTATTTTATTATCTCGCATTAAAAGGATCGGATAAGGAGGATAAGGAAACAAAATACGCACTATTCCACGTTGAAGCGAGATGGCGTATAATGGAAGGGAAACTATGTGCCAAATTGCTTTTTGGAACGTATTTTATAAACACATAATACTAAGAAGGCATTCTATACTTTCTTACATAAGTCGGCGAGCTCAAAGAAGTTTTTAATCTGTCCAAATTTTCAAGAGAAACGTTCAGCGAACAGAAAAAGTCGTAACCTTAAATGATTCTTTTATTTTTACATTACGATAAATTAACTTTTTTTTTTAACTTTTTCCAGGTGTGGCGGGTCAGCTTACGAACACGACGAGCAAGCGGAACACGTTCGTTGGCACGCCGTTCTGGATGGCGCCCGAGGTGATCAAGCAGTCGTGCTACGACAGCAAAGCGGATATCTGGTCGCTGGGCATCACCGCTATCGAGCTCGCTAAGGGGGAGCCCCCGAACTCAGAGCTGCACCCAATGAGAGTTCTCTTCCTCATACCCAAGAACAACCCCCCACAACTCACAGGCTCCTACTCGAAGCCCTTCAAAGAGTTTGTTGAAGCATGTTTGAACAAGGACCCCGAAAATGTAAGAAATATTGATATTTGGTTAAAATTCGGTCAATCTTTAATCTATACTTTTATACTAATATTATAAAGAGGAAAGATTTGATTTTTTGTATTTTATGTATGTATTGAAATACTTCAAAAACTACTGGGCCGCTTTCAAAAAATCTTTCACCATTAAAAAGCTACGTTATGAGTAACATAGGCTGTGTTTAATCTTACTTTTTTAATTCCACGCGAATGAAGCAGCTAGCAACAGCTAGTGGAAAAATAATAAGAAAAGTCAGACAATGAAGCTAGTAAAAAATAGAATAGCACAGAAAATAAAACAAGATGCGTATTTCAGTGTGAAAGCTTGAAAATCGTCCACTTTAGGAAAGGTGTTTAGTGCTCTCGACAGCACAAACATTCCGCGCCGAGGGCTCGGGCCTCGGTCTCGGGTCGGCAGGTCAACAAACCTGAGCCCGCGACATCACAAGCGCTTGTTATTATACAAACTTTACCAACAGTTCGTTTATTCCCTACCGCTGTTTGTCTTTGTCACATGTCCCAGTTTCAAATTACGGCCCCAGTTCGTTTACTTGTATGCTGATCAGTTTCGGGGAAAGCCCACTTTGTTTAAACTTTTTAATTATACAACGTTGAATACGAAATTCAAACCATGTTTGTACATACCTACAAATTTCATCCATACAAGTTTAAATCATGTCACGGCAATCAAGAAATATAAGAATCTCTTTAACATGTACTTATTTCTCGGTTGTGTGATTCCAGAGACCGACTGCGAAGGAATTACTAAAGTTCCAGTTCATCCGGAAGGCGAAGAAGAACTCTTACCTTATGGACCTGATAGATAGGTACAAGAAGTGGAAGGCGCAGCGCAGCGAGGAGAGCGAGACGGAGTCGGAGAATTCGGACTCGTGAGTTATAACACTAAACTACCGGTAGTTTTTAAGTAAATTACACAGACGCATTGCTATTATTACTTTCATCTAACATTCAATATCAGCGATGCAATACGTTTTTATGACGCGTTGGTAAAGCATATTCAATTTCCACATAAGAATTCAATACTTATAAGATATCAAATCCACATAAAATATCAAACAAATCACAAATAAATTTCAAGGATTTTTTTGTGATTTGTTTGATGTCAATGAGAATTGTAATAACTGATATTAAGTGGACAGGTTATAAGATCGCAATTTTGTCGTCATCAACAGGCGCGTTACGTAGAACGAAGCGAAGTTGTAATTTCTAAGCAATCGTCTATCTAATAAGCATATTTGTAAATGTTAATATTATAATATTGTGAATGTTCGTGCAGTGAGGAGTGCAGTAGAGGCGACAGCGAGGCGGACGAGCCGTGGATAATGACGGTGCGGGGCGGCGCCG